CTCATCCCCAGAGGTATTTAAAAGAAGGATAGATGAGGTGCTTAGGGACATGGTTTAGTGGTGGGATGTCAGGGTTAGGTTAAAGGTTGGACTCGATGATCTCAAAGGTCTTTTCCAACCAAAGTGATTCTATGATTCTATTTTACCTGAAGGCTTGCAAAGCTAAGCAGATGCAAGTCGTCGATGTTCACCGTCCAAACAATAGCTCTGTGCTATGGAGAAGCTGGCACTAGAGTCATTGAGAGGAGTTGAGTTTTACGTTCTACATGCAGATCCTTGGACAACCCGGCTTTGCTCAAGTAAGATTCTCCCATCATAAAGCTCTCAAGCAGTGCCTGGGGAACAAAAGCCCACGGGCTGGGACAGGGGTTGCAGAGATCTGCACTGGAACTAGGACAAGTCTCACTTCCCTCCTGCTCTCTGCCTACATTAGACCAGTAGCTTAGAGGTGGTGCTGCTGGAGAATAGAAGTACCCCATCTTCAATCACTGCAAGCACAACTATAAAAGAATGGTTCCAAGACTAGGACAGAGAATTAAGTGCAATTCACAGAGGCACCATTTAACTCTCCTCCTCACTTGTGCTGTCACCTGTTCTCAATAGCCACCTCAGTATCCTTCCCTTCTGTGCATCATCAAACACAGACACTGGTTAAGACAGACAGGTAACAGCCAGGCTCCTTCTCACATTCCAGTCATCTCCATTTCTTTTGTGGGGACTTATTTCCATTGGTGTTTGCAAAATTGCTCCTCTTTCCCCCACTTCAGCTGTCATCTAAGTGACCAAATAAGACCTGTTGCCATTTAATCCACTACTCATGTCCCATTACAGTGTTTATTCTAGAATAAAATTATCTATATTATTTCAAATGGTCAAAACATGTAATTGTTTCGAAGTCTTCTGTGCATTCTCTTTCCTACCACTGATACACAAAACTTCCAGTACTTCAGGAAACCTTAAGTTTAGGGAGAAATCCAGTTTCCTTGTAACTATTACAACACACACACAAACCCCAAATAGATAACACTGTGAGATATCACAACATAACACTGCATAACAGCCCCAAAAATACAGAGACATTCTTTGTTAATTCTCTGGAAACCATCTTCCAAGCGCTCAGAGCATGGAAATGTAGAAATGGTATTTCGAGCATGCTCCACAGACAACGTATCACTGAAAACGGATTGTTCTTGCATAACATCATTGTAATAGTTTGGATTTGTGTTCTTGAATTGAACCTTGTCCTGGAAGTGTACTGAAACAAGCATGTTCCATGGAGAGAGATGTTACATTACACACGGAAATGCAGGGGCTTTGGCCACTGCTGGAGCAGCCTGTTAACTGTTAATACTCACTCTAACAGTGCTAGGAGCAACTTAAATATTGGAGATAGAAAATCTCCTGGGTCAGTGTTTAGCTCCAATACCTTAGGCACCCCAGAGGCCCTACGGGGAGCAAACGCCAACTCCTGGCCCCAGGAGGTTTTGCAGAATCAGCGTTCACCAGAGCTGGCAGCCTGCCTCATGTCTCCCTTTTTAACGGGACAGCTGTATCACTCCTGCTGCGAGTGGCGAGCACCCAGCTCCGTGCCCTGTCAAAGTGGAGTAGCATGCACACTCATTCCTAGGGTGGCCTCGCCAGCACATTGCCCACCACCTCCCCTCAAATATCTTTTTCTTGCACTTGCCTTACTCAAGACTGTATCATGACAATAGGCCCTTCTCCTCCTTCAAAGC